GTCAAGAATTCATATGAATTTTCTCAAAGGATCCAGAACATTTGGTTAGTGGGGTCGGAGCTGTTGGTGAATTTCGATGTACAATCCATGTTCACAAACATCTCAGGTGAGAAGGCGATAAGCGCATTAATGGAAATATTTCAGCGAGAGGAGGATATCCTGGAGGCAGAACGGATACGGAAGGAGTCGTTAACACGACTAATCAACCTGACAGTTATGACAACATATTTCATATTTAACGGCCTTATCTATGAGCAAATATTTGGACTACCGATTGGATCACCACGAGATGGAGACTAAAGCGGTTTGGCTAACAATAGACGTGTTTGATCTTAAACGTGAACCTTGAATCACGACTATTTTTTAGCCAACCAGCTCTACCTTCCACTGTTTCTATCCTTTTCTATCTATAATACCAAGCCTATTACGTCTTATGCTCTAGTCTCTTGCATGCCAACCAACAAATGTTGTAGTTCAATATTGAACCAAATCCAAACAAGATGTACCACAACATTTGGGGGGTTAGCACACAAGAGACTAAGGCATGGCAAATCATAAACTTGGTATTAGGGATAGAAACAGGATAGAGACGGTGGGGACCGGAGCTAGTTGGATGACAGTAGATCGGTTGTACCAGAGGCGTGGTCCATGTAGAAAAAGGGTGACCATGCCACTCAGAGGCTTACGCCTCGAATTAGTCACCCAGACGCAGTTGAGGGCGAATAACGCCTCGAGTAGGATAGATTTTTTGGCAGGAGTCGAGTGAAATAGGTGAACAAGGGGTAGAGCAGACGGATTTTACGGAACAAGAGGGAGACTGGGATAAGACTAGGGAAGAGGACTGCATAATAATAAAGCAGACTCTGATCAACATTCCCTGCACAAGGATTGGGGGTGGGTGAGAACGAGAGTTGGTGAATGAAAGTGTCATGTCACTCAAAGGAACACACTACACGATCTAAATAAACACGGTAAAAATTGCAATAGAGAAGGCATGATAGGATTCTACCGAAACCGCGAATAACCCAG